CTTTAAGCCATTATGAAAAAAAACAAAGCAGCGAGCTGAAGATTCCATTGGTGACATACCTTTGTATTTTCTGACAGTATTTGTTAACAATGCATAATATAAAAGAAAACAAATTTATAATGTAAAAATATTCTTTTATTAAAAATCGTGATTTAATTTAATTTTAGTTTTAAATAATAATAATAATAATAATTTAATTATACGTGTTTATATTTCAAAACATATTTTTATAACAAAAGAATATTTTAATACATACATTAATGCATGTATCAAATATAAATGAGATTAGTGAACGGACATTTTTGTGCTTATCAAAAATGTGCTAACTACGATGTCAAGTTATAAAGGTTAACACATTTTTGCTTAGCACAAAAATGTCACTTAACATGTCATCCACTAAGCTCCTTAAATGGTCTGTTGTCTTATTGAATTTGTCCGCTTTGTTGGCAACAAAAAAACTCCTATACCACAAACACGATACCCAGCAGTAACCCAATATACACAAGAAAAGTACAAAACAACACGTAAAAAAGAAGGAAGGAAATATAGAGTGGCACTGGATGTAGTCCTTTGATTGAATACCTCACAGTTTTAATCAAAACCGTGGAGAGGTTTTAAATTTTCCATACCGGTTGTAAATAAATATCTATTTTGTGTTAAAGAACATAGTGTGACAAGAAATTTATACTTAAGTCGCGTAATTTGTTATTTCTATCAGTTATATTGTCTAAGTGAAGTGTTAAAGTGTTTCGCAAAAGGAAAAGGACTTTGCAAGAATAGAAGTGACTTGTTCAGTTTTGGCAAGGAGCACTGTTTTCTTGTGGTGTCAAGATCTTTTGGCTACTCTAGCACCATTCGAAATCAGTTCTACCACCAAACATCTTCAAGGAAGACAAATTATAACAATTTTTCCAAAAAAGTTAATTTGAAGGTGTAAGTACAATTTTTACATTTATTTTAATTTAAAATCTTGTGATAAATTCAGACGTTAACTTTACATGCCAGTCAATTAAAAAAACATTTAAAATTTTAGGTACAAGCAGTAAAACATATTTTAAATTACATACTTTTTTAATATGCCCTTTTATGCAATTAAATATTAAAACATATTTAATATTAACAAAAATTTAAATTTAACTCATTATCAATATTATACTTTCATACAAATTTAAGTATATTCTTCAGAAAAAAATTGTGAAATAATTATTTTTAATATTATGGTACAAGTAATTATAATAATACTGATTGGGCATTTCGCGAAGTGGGTAAAAGCTAGCAGCAGATGTCTTGTTTATTTTGTTTGTATACAACCGTTTTTAAATTTGTGAGATTTTGGTTAAAAATGCTTAATAACTAAACTTAGGTAATATTTTTGTTTCCCATATAGTGTTACGTATATGAAAAAATCAAGAAAAAAATGCTATTAAAATTAAAATGAATTGTCATATTTCAACAAAAATTTATTTACGTTTGACATTTAAATCTGTCAGTTTAACGCCAATTTTGTCTTATTTTTTGAAAGTATTAAAATACATATATTTTTTGTGTTATAAACTCAGGTCTTTATACACAAAATAGTTATTTGTTTTACAAGTGTTGAAAAGCGACTTTTTCATGCGAGTTTTTAAGTTTCCCACGAGGCCGTTAGGCCGAGTGTGCATTAACACGAGCTTGAAGAAAGCTTTTCTCACAAGTATAACACAATGTTTTTTCTGCGACCCTTTTATTTTTTGTTATTTTTAAATACAAAACAAAATAACCTAAAAACTTTTTTGTCAGCTGAATATCAAACGATGCTGTCAATTTATTTTCACACATACCTGTCACTTTTCACACATAAATGTCACTTTACATTCGTGTTTTGCCTTGCCAATGAAAATATTCATTTTCTAAGCAACGATGCCATCAAGAAAAGTGACTTTTACAAAGTGGTCGTAGAAAAAATACATTTATGGTGTAATTTTCGGAATATATGCGTTAAACTGACAAATAGATAACCTCAATTATTTGTATTTAAATGTCAAAGTGGGACTTCTGGGTTTGGTTTTTATAAATATCTTAAATATCCTTTACCCAATACATGTATTGAAGATTTCCATATGAGTTATCCAATGTATATCAAGTGGATATCCATTAGACATACATTAGTTATCCAGTGGATATCGATTGGACATACTTTATTGAAATTGGCTTTATTGCGATTTAAATCATATTTACTAATCATAACATACAAATTTTATAACGGACCATTTAAAAAAAGAAAAAAAATATTAATTGTTTTTAAATATTGCAGAATATCCAGTATGGATATTTATTGGATATCCAATTAATAATAAAGTTTTGCCAATAACTGTCCAAGATAGGACTTTATATTCCTACGACTCTTGTGCAATCTCGAGGCCCCGATGGCCAACAAGAAACGATCAATCGTGACCAACAAAATGCAAAAGCAGTTTTGTTGATATAATTTAGGGATTGTTTGAATATGAAAAAACGTTGACACATTTTAAATGTTTTTTAGGGAAAATATTAATATACCCGGAAAATATTTTTAATTTTATTTCACCCCAAGGGTGTTCTCACTTAAATATTAAATTATTAATACAGGGTCCCAATTTAAATCGACAAATTTAGTAGTTGACAGAACTCGCAAAAATAAGAAATTAGTTTATATGAACTGTATGTTTTAAAGCTTCGTTTTCGAGATACAGTAAAGGAATAAACAAAATATTTATTTTTTTAAAAATTTCAACATCTTGGTAGAATTTAATAAAAAATTTAGGTTTTTAGTAATGGGTAAAGGCGTAATTTTTTGTAATTAAATTTCATTTAGTTAATCCAGAGGCGGCTTTGGGGCATCCCAACTAGATATATAAAAAAAAATTGGGTACGCTTTTGCTTTTTTATAAGTTTAATATTATTTTTAGCTTCAGCCATTAAAAGTACAACTTTTATCTCCTGCATTATTCCTCTTGTTTAATTTTCAAACAAAAAATTATTCGCTTATTCTCCTGGAAAAATTATGGTCACAACTGATAAACGAATTTAATTTTTTTTAATTAAGCAAGATGGAGAAAAAACATAAGAGACTAAATAGTTGTGTTTATAATTGCCAAATCTAAATATAATATCACACTCATAAAAAAGCAGTGGCGTGACCATACTCGCTATTGCGCATAAGCAAACTGATTAACGGTTTGTTAAGTTTCGACCAATCTGCATTAAAAACTCTTTGGCAATTTTTTACCAAACTTCATTACAAATGAAGTAGGCCAAAAATAACTATAATATAGTCATTATTTTTATGCTTATGCAGTTTATAAGCTATTACTTTGGGGAATAAAAATATGTCTCATTTTGGTCAAACGTGACGACAATGACAACTCATGTGTCCAAATAAAAACCAATATATTGTAAAATATCGTAAAACATCAAACTTAGTAACTTTGTTACAACTACCTCTTCTAAACATTTGCTTTCTGGGTGGTTAAGACTAAAAATCGTGAAAAAAATTGGGAATGATTGGTTTATACATTGTAGGCTCTCTCGTCAACAAAAAGTATTGGTTGACTAAAAAATTTGTAAAAACGCGTAAATTTGTTTTTGTTGAGAACATAATCCATTCCATTGGGTATCAGCAAATAACTTTTCATTTTTAAACGCTATGAGCAATAGGGATGAGCAGAATATCGCTATTATAACAGTTATTTAATCAAAAATAGCTTTTAGCTATTGCAAATAACGTGGTTGGCAAAACCGCGATTTTTTAAGAAAATCAGCTCCATTTTCAGTTTTTGGTGAAGCGTACATTTCTTGGAAGTTTAATATAACAGCGATTAAAGGGCGGTTTCGATATTAGCTGCCAACCGCTAAATGGGGAAAAATTAAATATAGTTATAATAATATAATATATAGTCATAATTTAAATAAAACAAATTATATATATTTTAATAAATGTATTATCAAAAAGATGATACATTGAAGGTGTGTTTACAAGGATTATTTTCTAAATATTCATAAATATTTTATTAGAACTAAAATATTAATTATATATACAAAAACAATTATTTACAAAAATATGTTTCCAACTTTATATACAAATCATAATAATTAACAATCGCTCAAAATATATCAACTAAATCAAACTTGGATACATTTTGCGGAAAATAAGAAAACCAAAAAATAACTTTGTCTTAAATAAAATATAATAATAAATCCCTGAAAGTATATATAATATAGATTAAAGAAACGAATATACACTCTTATAAAGCAAAACTGGCATTAAAATACCGCACATACATACATCATAGACACAATACTAGTTTAATAGGAATATAAAATAAATATTTTTTTAGAAATAAAATATTAATTACGTTAATATTACAACTTTGTTTTAATTGATGCAATATCACAAGTACAAGAAAATTATCAAAGAGCATACATTGTTGTAATTGTCTTCTTATACTCTTTATTTTTTTATTCTAAAATCACAAAATCAGCCTAAAGATCGATAAATTATCTTTGTAAATGTGCTATTACGTATAGAATCACTATAAAGTTACTTTAAATCGAATAAGGAACTAAGTTCATTTCTGAAGAAGCTACTGTGTTAGGGAAACAATTGTCAAAATTAAATTTAAATAAATTCGTGAAAGTTAAAAAACAGAGTTTGTTTTTATCTAGTTATACAAAATTTGTATAACTAGATAAAAACAAACTCTGTTTTTTAACATTTAATGTATAAATGTTTAAAAATAAAAATTATGTCAGTGCCAGTTTTAAAATCAAATCCCCAATTTTACTTACAAATTAACTTAGTTCTTTCCTTAGATTTAAGTAAAACTTTACATACACAAATTAAATTAATATTCAAGTAACCGGGTGTAATTAATAATAAAGAATGAAACCCTAAATACTAAAAAGTTATACACTTACGCACTCTAACTCCACGAAAATCTGGCAGTACTTTTTCAACAAAGCACCCAATCAAAAGACAACATTCAAATCGACAGTAGGCTGCCCTCGTTTGCGGCGGGTTCTTTCTTGTTCAGCTTGGCCCACGTGTCGCCCAACGCTTTGGCGAAGTGGTCGTCCACCGAGAGGCCCGCGCTGTCCATCAGTTCGATCACGTTGGCGGGCGGAGCGGCGATCCTGGGCGGCGGCGGCGGCGGCGACGGCGATTTGGCCGCCGGCGTCGGCTCTTTCGACAGGTTGTTGTTGAAGAGGGCGTGGTAGTCGCTGCCGAGCGACCGTCGGAAGTGCTCGTCGATGATCGGGTCGCACATCGATATGCCTGCGAAAATGACATTTGTTTTGTGTTGCTAATGGAAGTAGTAAACATTTCTGAAGGCTTAAGTTGCCAACCCAAAATCGGTCTAGGAGGTAGATATAATTTTAAAAGTTGGTAGTTTCCAACAAATCTTACTTTGAAAAGTTAGTAGATCTACCACCTATATTTTTCGAGTATTCCAGAGACTCCAAAGTAAGAAATCTGGCACTTTGAATTTATATTTTGATGGATACAAAATATTTTGCAGTAGTATTTTTATAAAAAAAGAATAATAATAAAAATAATAAAGCAGAATTACAGGTTGCTAATATACAAAATAAGAATAGAAAAAAGTCAAAAATTAAAGAACGAATTATGATAATTATCGTGCCTATAGGCACTTGGGTTGAAATTTAATAATTCCAGATTATAAATATTGAATCAATTAATTTGAGTATACAACCCAAGAGCGCGTTCGAAAACTCGCAAGAGTGCACTCTGGATACACTCAACAAGTTTATCTTGCGCGTTCGAATTTTCTGGTATATACCTAGAAATATGCAACTGTCAACTGTTCGAAAACAGCAAATATATGCCCAGAGTGCACTCTCGGTTGTCCATGGTGGCCAATTTAGGGTTTTTATATGGCAACTAAACCTAAATTGCAATTATTTTTAAATACAATTTTGTAATAATTAAATTTAGAAAAAATATGTTGTTTACATTTTTCTTGCAATTTTAATGAACATTGTAACTTTACACTTTTTATTTCATTTGCTTTAAAACAGGATATTTTATTTTATTGAAAACATTTGACAAATATAAACCTCAAAACTAAAATTTAATTTTGCTTAGCACTTTTTTTATATTTTATTTGGTATTTAGTAAATATTATTTACTTTAAAACAATATATTTTATTTAATTGAAAAACCATATTAAATAGTTTTTTTTCATTAATAATATTTTCCTTAAGTATTAATATTGTGACTTAGATAGTTTTTCACGTGTGATCTTCAAATTATTCGACCATTAAATCTAAAAATCAAATAATTTTATAGAAATTTGGATGAATTTCATAAGATAATAATATTTAGATTTAAAATATCATTTAAATTCAAAGTGAACCAAAATTCGTCCTACTGAAGAACATACCTTTTTTTTGTACCATGGCTTTTTCTAAACCCACATAAAAAATAAATGTGTTTACCTGATGGAATCTCGTCTCTGCTGACTACAGGCTGCCTGTAATTCGACTTGTAGCCTGGGTTGTTGACTGTCTGCGAGTAGGAGGGCGGCAACCCTCTTTGCCTCAAACTCATGTCCAACGGCGTGTCCGCCGCATCCTTACCATTCGAAAAGTCCTCCGGACTTCCGCTTCCGTTCTGGCTGGCGCTCGCTTCCGGACTCGAAGGCTGATCGCCGCCGAACGTTTCCGGTATTTTTGGGTCGGACTTTCGCGTGTACTCGGGAAGCCGCAGGCGCCGCTCCCGTTTCCATTTTGTCGTCTGTTTTTGTTTTGACTCGTCTAAAAAAAAGAAATTGTCAATTTTAATGTTTTTCTAGTTCATTTATTATTAGACATAGAGATGCGACTTGAAAAAAACGGTCCGTTTTTTTTGTTTTTTTTTTTTTTCATTGTTTTTTTTTCAAATGGTTTTTTTCACATTTTGTTATTTTTCAAGATTAGTCCCATTTGCCTAATTTTTTAGGTTTCATGGACTAAAATTAGCCACTAAAAGACAATTAGTAAATGTAAATACAGTCTCGCGCGACCACCACCGAATTGACCAATAAGGGCCGCGCTTGTTTTGATTTGGTCCTAAAAAAAGTAAGTACATATAATATTTTTGATTCAGCGCTTGATTTTTCAAAAAGCTACCAAAAGGACTTTGTTCATGATTTTTCAAATTCATGTAGAGTATGGAATTTTTTTTTTCAAAAAATAATAGCAAATTCTTGTAGAACATTTATTCATTGGTGGTTAAGTCAGAACATTCCGTGGACCAGAAAGCCAAAAAAATCGATTTTTTTTTATTACGGTATTTGTTAGGATTAAGCGTTGCACATTTTTTATCTAAAAATCTCAAAACTAGAAACTTCAAGCTTCAAATTGCTTTTTTTACGGCTCCAATACGAACATTTTTAACAAAGATACAGCTATCCGAAGAATCGCAAAACAATTTTTTTTTATCCTTTAATTTTTTGTATTGGTGTAGAAGTTTTACATTGCTACTGGTTTCTAATATGGAAACTACCAAATAATAAGAAATCCGATTTTTTATTCTCGGTCAAAATTTTCAATAATGAAAAATTTAATATATTCTACATTTCACTTTATTATTAATATGTATATAATATAGTAAAATATATATTTTACTCAAAATTTCATTTTGAAAAAAAACAAAAAAAAACCATTTTTTTCTAGTTTTTTTTTCAAATCTGAAAAAAAAACCGTTTTTTACATCTCTAATTAGAAAAATAGTAAAATAGGCAAAAATATTATTTTGGCTTGTTAAATACACGAAAAAGAAAATATACTTTTCTCTTTGCACCTATTAGGTGCCACCTAATACACGATTTAGAATTTTCCCTGATAGAATTAATAAAAATAATTTAATTTTGAAACAAACATTATCTTTGAATTTATGACATTGTTTATAATTTACACAATTTTTACCTCAACTAGGCACCTGATAGAAAGCCTAAATTTTGTAGAATATAGAATGTACAATTTTAACATAATTTTTTTCTAGAAACCCAGGGTTTGAAATTATTTTGTTAATTTCAAAGGTTACAGATTTTTTTTTTACAAATTATTTCGTACACGTGATTTAAAGCAGTCAAAACATTTCCCACTAACAATACGCATCAAGAAGTTCCACTGACTTCAGCGTCTGGAACTTATGTTTCTGCTTACTTTAATCTAGTTCGTATTTGGATTCCTTATATCTATTTAACGAGTGTGCGAAGTGCGAAGTAACCGAAAAAAAATGCTGGATTTCAAACTGAAATTAGGGGATACAGTGAAGTGGGTTAAAGTTACGAAATACGTCAGTTAGTATTATAGTGGTACTAATAATTATATTATACCAAATTTCTTTATAATTTGATGATTTCAGAATGGTGTATTATTTAATTAATTAATTGTGTGTATATTATTTTGCTATTCATTTATGTAGGTATGTGTTAATTTTTTTGTTAAGGATATTGAATAATAAAGCAACATTTCTTATCAAAATTCTTTTCATTCAAGTTCCCAATTTCCAACAAATACTTTTGTTACTGGGTCTACAAAAGGGTTTGTAAAAATAATGTCCTTTTTTAAAATAACAAGGATTATGGTTGAATTATTGGCAGGATTTTGTTATTAAATCTAAAAAATGTTTGTTATAATTACAAACTACTTATTTAATTACTTAACAGACAGAGCTGCAAGCTCTCAGAAAACTTAAATCGTTTTTTTGATTTAAATCGTTTTAATGACTTAAGTCATTTGGTAATAAGTCATTTCTCTAAACCTGACTTAAGACTTAAAATTTAAGTAATTTTCAAAATGATTTGTGACTTAAATATTTTTTCAAAATAGAAAAAACTTAAGTCATTAATAAAAGGCTTAAATCAGTACATACGATTTAAGTCAGATAGAAACGATTTAAGTCAAAAAAAGAATTAAGTCTTTTTAAAAGTCGGTAAATTATTTAAGTAATTTAAAAAGATTTAAGTCTTTTTAAAAAAGATTTAAGTCTTTTTAGAAAATATTTAAGTCAGATTTTTCATATATTTTTTGTAAATTTTTAACAGCGGCATTTTCTTTTGAACTGCCAGGGGTTCACGCGGCAGCAGATCAAAAACTCCTTTAATTTCCTACCTACAATTGCTACCGCTAGTAAATAAAAAAACCGCCGCGGTAAAGTTAGCTTTTCGAAACCGTTTGACGGCTACATTAAAAAGTGTCCTGTCTAAAATGAATGAAAAAAAAGTGGGAATTTATAATTTTGTTATTTTGTTTGCTAACATTCGTCGTATTATGCGTGCAGTTAGGTCTAATTTGTGATTATTAGTGCAAAGTGGAAACAAACGATTAACAGGTAAAGACGAATAAATATTATAAAGAAGTGTTTATATCATACAGGGTGTTTCGGTTTGTTTAAGTAAATAATTACGACAGAAAAACGTGATTGTGCGTGAATAAAATTATTCAAACGTGATTGTGCGTGAACGTGAGTACCTAGTCTTAAATTATTACAGTCGTGAGTGGTCGTAAATCGTGAACAATCGTGAATCGGGAGTAGTCGGGAGCGGTAGTGAGCAGTCGTAAATCTTGAGCGGTCGTGAATGGAGAGTTTGGAACCTCCCATCATTACTCCCTTAAGGGAGGAATATTTTTTTTCTAGATGGATGTTGAACCAGCTACAAAAGTTAACAAAACAACAAGTTATCAGATTTTGAACTACAGCGATTTTAAGAAAAATGCTTCAACTTTTAACTATTTTAACAGAGTTTCTTAAGAGAGTTTTTTTAACAGAGTTCTTAACAGAGTTTTTTAACAAAATCTATTATCGTTTAAAATCGTTTATGTATATAAAAAAGTACCCTCCCTGTATGTCTACTCTACTAAAAAATGTGTTTTAAGTTTTTATTTTGTTTGTAAGTGAAAATAAATCGTTTTAAATTCTTAACTTGGTGGTTTATTATCATCTGTATTCACAATAGATTAATAATATCAGTATCATTAATACCATAAAATTATTATTAACATTTAAAAATCGTTGTATTGACTTAAGGGTAATTATTTTGATTTAAATGACAATTTTTGATTCAAGTCATTTTATTGACTTAACTCTTAGATCACGATTTAAATAAAAAATATAGACTTAAGTCATAAAAACGTCTTACTAAAGGAATTAAGTCATAAGATGACTTAAATCACTTTATATTGATTTAAGAATTTGCGAAAATGACTTGACTTGAAAGAAAATGATTTAATTCAAAGACTTAATACTTAAATCATTTGAACTTTTACTTGGAATTGAATTAGGATTTAAATCATTTTGATTTTAGAATTGACTTAAGACTTAAGATTTAAGTCTTTTTAAAACTGACTTGTTGCAGCTCTGTTAACAGAATACATTTGGTTGTAAACTTAACATAAAGTTATGTGGACCTGTATTAACATAAAATCTGGTTAATATTTGGTTAAATTAAAAAAAAAACCAATTGCCCCTCACTAGAAAGAGGTCTGGGGCAATTTCAGAACCATCTACGTCTTCTTCTGAAAACTCAAAAATATAAGTGTAATCTCGGTTTATGTGAGATATTGAAATTATTCTTAACTTGGAATTAGATCTTCCTATAAGGATTCAGCCTTTATTATAAAAAATGGCCATAACAAGAAGATCGGTTTATTTAATCATATTTAGTCGTAACTTCGGGTTCTAAAATAAAAATAACCCAAACAATTGTAATGCCATTAAAAATTAATTTTAATGAACCCACGGGTGTTTACCGTATTTTAGAAATTTTTATCAATTAGTGGGATCGTTGAACCTTTGCTGAGTAAATTTTAATGCTTTTCATTGATATCGGTTTATCTGAAAAATGGCTGTTTTAATTAAAATATTTAACGTTTCAGGATACTGTGTATCAACCACAAATATTTATGTTCCAAATTTAAAAATTTAATTGACCATTTTATTATTTATTATTTGTTGAACTATGAAAAACTTGCAATAAATAAAGAATATTTGAAAAGTAATAATTAAAAGAAATTGAGATTAAGATTAAATTTGGGTTAATGGACAAAAATGCACTATACTCTTTTTATAAAAATACTTAATTGTTGACTATGTAAATACATTTTCTTATATTGCGTCGAGTAACAGTAAACAAAGAAAATCCAAAAGAAAACACCTATTGTATATCTTTTGTATGGTAATTTAAACTTAATAAAAGCATTTTACATGTAATGTAAAGCAGAGGCAAGAATCCACGCACAGTAATTCATTTTGCAATGTTAGTTTAACTAAAGGTTTTTTTAATTAAAAAATCAGTAAATAGTATATTTTTAAATCCACCAAACCCTGGTATTTTAATGTTAAGTTTAACAATTGACGATAATTCTATAAATAAATACTTTTTTCTACACTAAGTGACCTTTTAAATACACATTAACAAGTTGTGGCTTTAAGGCGCTTTAGTCACGGGCTGAAGTTGGCAACAGGTTTTTAGTCACGGGCTGAAGTTAGTTTTAAGTTAGTTGACAGTTGTCAAATGTCATACAATTGTTAAAATAAAGTGCCTTTTGTAAAATAATACTAAATGTGAAAATTATTTTATTATCTCAATACAAAAATACAAAAGTATTAAATAGTTTCTCAACGCCAATATTTGAAAAGTTTATATATAAACTTTTCAAATATATTTCATATATGAACATTGTACTGACCTTTTAATTTCGCCGGCAGTAAACTATAACCTAAATTCGGGCACGGACTCCACTGTAAAGTGCTCATTTTCTTTACTTTCAATGTGAAAAACTGTCAATTTTTAAGAAATACATTTCGATTTATAACCTGACGGTGACACACAGATTCCCCTATTGTTTCATAGATGGCGCTCTATACAAATTTTAGATTTAAATCATTTTAAGATAATAATAAGTATTTGTCGTAGAAAAAGTATAGTATGCACCTCGTTTATAAACTTTTCTATACATTCGTTAATAAAATGGCGTTTATCAAACTTGATACTATTATTTGAGTGGGTCTTTTTGTGCCTACAATTTAGAAAAGCACAAAAAGACACGTCTCAGCCAAATGGCATACAACTCATTATCTTCAAGGCACATCTTTATTTGTTAAACGATATTTTAAACGCACAATTATTAAAAGTATAAAGTGAGGTTAGATAGCTTCAGAGATATTAGCAGTTTTTTATTGGTCCTAAAGGGTTTTTACAGACTAGGACGTAAAAAACTGCACTTGATTGATTTAAATTATTTTTACAGCCTAGGATAGTAAAAACAGGGTGTATAATTGAAATTTAAATCATTTTAGGTAAAACATTCTGTAAGTAATCTTTAATTTAAAATTTTGTTAAAAAAAATATTGATGAAGTGTCTGTTTCCACAACCAATATAAAATTATTATAACAGGTGTTAAATATAATGAAAGGTAAAAAAACCTATTGGTGTTATGTGATACAACTGAAAAAGGCTTAAAATTTTAGTTTTCTTTATTTTCTATTAATTACTATAAAAAACACTTTCTAAAGTATAAAACTGTAGGCACTAACAAATAAAGAATGTGTATCAGTTACACTTAGTTAAATCTAATAGTTAAGTTTTTGTTTTTGCCCAAAAATAAGGATAGCTGATAATTTAACCTGAGTCACTGTGCGTTAAATAAATCTTTTTGAACGGTTCTATTTTTTTCTGTCATTGTTCCGTTGAAATAAGTTGAAAGGAACGTGGCGGCGGTTAAACGCACTTAGCATTCCCACAATTATTTAGTTATTTTTTAATTGCCGCTCACTTGGATTTCATGAATCTTCCCACATACCGAAACGAAATGCCTGCTACTTACTTAAGTGATCTTCAACAACCAAAATTTGACTAGGTTATAAATAGACCAGGGCAGAGTAATTGTGGAGATGTTTAACAAGTTGTTTTTTGTATTTTAAATACATGCAATAAAGTAGTTTGTATATGTTTTCACATTGACAAACTGCGACTTAAAAACAACGGGCTGAAGTTAGCTTTAAGTTGGTTGTCACTTGTCAAGTGCATTTCTCGTCCTTGGTCAGTTACTGGTTGTATTTTTGAATAAGACTGATTTCTTGTTCGACAGTAACTTATTACGAAATTGATACACTACTTAATGAGTAGGGATTGCAATCCAGCAGGGTTTAAAATCCAAATGGACCAACGCGGATTTAGAAATTTATAAATTTTTTATAGAAAACTAAAAAAAATTTAAATTTTATTTTAATACCTAAATAAACCTATATTTTTATTTTCATAAGAAAAAATAAAATGGGTAAGTACTTACTTATAAATAATAAAAAATAAATGAAATAAATTTTTAATTCGCGTCAATTAAATTAATTAATTTAATTTACCTATTGATATTAATAAATTACATTTTTTATTAATATTTTTTTTTTTATTTAAAACATTAATTTTACCCATTTTTATGTTTTGTTATGTTTAAACTCTCTGTATAATATAGGGTTTTTTGATAAATTAGTTAAAAAACTATAGTAAATTACTATTAGTAAAATATAAACCTAAATAAATAAATATACGAGGTGTGTTTAGAAAATAACCGGAATTGTTAAATTTCGCGGGTTTGGAGGGTCCGGTTGTCATAAAATTTTCTTTATTATGTTGTTGTACATGCCCCGAAGTGTGATAAAAACTTTAGCTGTTTTCATCGTTTACTTTGTCTGTGGCAGCCGCTAAGGTTAGACGTGTTTTATGAGCTCGGCGATTTTCGTTCGTTAAAAGAAATGAATCAAAGAAATTTGTATCCAATTTTGCTTAACAAATTAAATAAATTCTGTGAAATGTTAACAAAGGCCTATAGTGAGTCTGCTATAAGTAAAACAAGAGTTTACAAGTGGTATGAGAGTTTCCAAGATGGCCGTGAAGACGTTGAAGATGACGAACGCCCCGAACGCCCAAGCACATTAACAACCGATAAAAACATGGAAAAAGTGGAAGAAATGGTTATAAACCATCAGAGAAGTCGCTGATGATGGTATATCGATTGGCTCATCCCAGGAAATTTTTTTGAATGTTTTGGGTATGAAACGCGTGGCAGCAAAATTTGTTCTAAAATTGTTAAATTTTGAACAAAATTTTTGGCCAAAAACAATACTGTAATGATGCCTCCATATTCGCCAGACATGCCTCTGTCTGACTTTTTCCTATTCCCAAAAATAAAGAGAACCTTAAAGGGTCGTCCTTTTGCAAGCATAGATGACATTAAAAGCGCATCGCTGAAAGAACTAAAGGCTATCCCAAAGATCGAGTTTTAGAAGTGTTTCGAGTATTGGAAGAAGAGCTGGCACATGTGAATAATATCCAATGGGGACTATTTTGAAGGCGACAACATTAATGTAGACGAATAAATAAATATTTGTTTTAAAAAACGAAAATTCCCGATATTTTCTGAACACACCTCGTATATTAAAAACATATTATTTTTACAGGACTCAAAAACTTTTATGAAGAAAGTTATTGGACTATTTCGTAAATTTCAATTTTTAGTAAATTTATTCTCTTTTAAACCCTATAATATGAATTATATCTACTGGACAATTAAATATTTGTAGAACATTAAACTGATTTGTACTTTAAAAGCTTGAACAAAATTAATGTAAAGATTTTATAATTATTATTATTACAAGTTTTGTGTTTTTTTTAGTTCCCAATGTAACTACTGTAATGTAATGTAATGTTTATAAATAAATTAAAATTAAAATTTAGTCTAATTACATTTATGGTTTGTTCTATGGACACTTATTTAGCATGAAACTTTATCAAGCCAAAGCAAAAAGTGCGGTGTAGAAAGGGGTGTAGCACGTGCCGCAAGCGTGACAGAACGGTAACAAATGAACATAAACATAGACCACAGTTTAAATATACTTTTCTCTTTGTACCTTTCACCTCACCTAAGCACCCAAAGGTTTATCCTAGATTCTAGGTCCTAGAATCTAGGACCTAGAAAGACAAAATTGTGTAGCGTAAATACCACACCAAAAAGACAACTTTTGGTTACCTAGTCTATGTGAAATTCGAAAAAAAAACGAGAAAAAATGTTTTAATTTTTAAACAAAATAATAGGTTTACTTTGTGAGCGACTTTTGGAACACCATGTATACTACTGTTTCGACAACAACTAAAACATGAAAACTTTTCGAAAACCAATTATAATTTTCTCCTTAAAATTAACTAATTTTACTAAACGAATTGACCTTTTGGGGACGTCGATGCGGCAAAGAAGACGTTCTGATATAAATTGCATGTCATGAAGGATGTGTGTGACCCTTGAAGGCCGGACGGATGAACGTATTCGAAAACACTGCGGTGCGTCCGATAATTAATTTGAAGATGAACGGCATCCGGCTCTTTTTAACTGGCATCTATTACCTCAGGCTGTTTTTAATGAGAAGGAGAGAACCGTTTTGAAAAACAATAGCCACGAAAATTACAATTATTGTTAAGTCATCCGATAAGTATCTTTTTTGCTATTTTGTGCTTTAACTAAGTAATTATTGAGGAGGCAGTTGATTGCAGCGTCTACTACTGCCTCAATTGACAACTTTAAAGACTTAATCTAAATTAAGTTTTAAATAGTCTTCAAATTGAGTAATGGTGGCTTGTGCGGTAAACAAAAGCAAACGTCCGGTATAAAATGCATGAAACCGTATAAAAATAACATAACTCATATTGTAAAGCTCATTAAGATACGCTTTAAAAACACACAATATTAATTAACATTAAAGTACGCGTAAGTAATTATAATTATAAAACCAGTTATGGACGCAGTTTTAAAACCCTAACATGTCCAATTAAACCAACTTACTCAACTGGATTGTATAAATTCCCTAATTACCTGAATGTAGCCAAGGCTGCCAAAAAGCTCGACTTTTGATGTCGTTTTGCTGCTCAATTATCTGGTGCTGAGCCCTCATGATCAACGAAGCCCTCAATAAATCCTGCACGAACACGGAAAATTCCATAATACAACAACAAGTCACAACAATAACGAATCGCAATAAAAAGAATGAAACACTTAACACATTTGCTTTTGTGCTACTAAAGGGCGACCATTCATTGTGAGCGCGGCGTTAACTTCTTTTGAAATAGTAAGTCCACACAGTTTCATTCATAAGAGTCTCAGGTAAAAGAAGGCAGCAGGTATACGTAATTACGTTTTTACCGCACGTCGGTCGCTATGTCGCGACCGAATAGGGTCGCTTTTGCCTTGTGCTGCGCGTTTTTGACCGGTTCACAGTTTTTTGTTTTTATTATATTGTATCACAAGAATCGAGCCTATCCCGCGTTTCGTTTTTAACGCGTCAACGGATCGCGCGTGGGAAACACGATGACTTTGAGGAAATTTCAAATTGATTCTCGCTCGTGATAGTAGAGGAGGCACTGAAGGAATTTATTCTTCTTTAATGAAGTAGTAAATGTAGCAAGGTCGCCATTATGTATTTTCTCGAAACACGGCGTCCAGGACCGGCTTTAGCAACCAAGTATATTCCATATGGGGCCTTATGCAAAATTGTATGCCAATTTTTAAGAATGCACTTTATAATTACGTTTGAACTGGTGATTTAAAAAAAAAATCGAATATTATAGAAAAACTAACAAACTGAAGGTAACATTTTTGAAAGCCGGTAAAACAGACACATTTTGGATACTATTTGTAATTAGTCATAATTTTTAATATTTGTCGTAGAAAAAGTATAGTATGCAACTAGTTTACTAGACACTAATTTTTATTAAACACTATCTCGCAAGCTCTCGTCGTGCCAAATTCGTGACCTAAATGGCTTTTATCAAATTTTTAAATATTTTGCTATAATTAACAAATTTTAACTTTTTAGCATTCTTAACATAACCTTATCTTCAATTATTATGTTTATTTTAAAAACCTAATTACTTAAACTACTCTTTTTAAACATAGGTACGCAAATGCTTTGTTTTCAAGATAATAATTAATCTCTTTTTTAATTGTTATTTGTAAATATCTTAAATACCCTCTAAAACATTTTGTTGTTATTTAGCAGTGTTATTTGTAGTATTAAGTAGTTAATTTAACTCTAACTTGATTACATTTATTAAGTCCAGTGGCGTCCTAAGATTATTTGTTATTTTTATATATTTTATACACGAATTTAGTTTAGGCACAAGCGAGCTTGCGAGCGAGTGCTTAAATTAATAAGTGCATAGAAAAGTTTATAAACGAGTTGCATACTATACTTTTTCTACGACAAATACTTGTTATTATCTTAAAATGATTTATTCAAAAATTTGTATAGAGCACCATCTATGAAACAATAGACGAATCTGTTTTTTATAAACACAATTATAAAGGTTATAAATCGAAATGTATTTCTTGAAAATTGACAGTTTTTCACAGTGAAAGTAAAGAAAATGTTTTATGAGCACTTTGCAGTGGAGTCCGTGCCCGAATTTAAATTATAGTTTACTGCCGGCGAAATTAAAAGGTCAGTACAATGTTCATATAAACTTTTCAAATATTGGCGTTGAGAAACTATTTAATACTTTTGTATTTTTGTATTGAGATAATAAAATAATTTTCACATTTAGTAATATTTTACAAGAAAGGCATTTTATTTTATCGATTGTATGACATTTGACAACTGCCAACTAACTTAAAACCAACTTCAGCCTGTGACTAAAAACCTGTTGCTAACTTCAGCCCGTGGCTAAAGCGCCATAAATCCACAACTTGTCAATGTGTATTTAAAAGGTCACTTAGTGTCATGGAAATATGTACGAGAAAGGGCGTTTTAAAGGTGGGAGTAGAAAAAATTACTTAAAGAATCGTCTGTTAAATTTATTTTACTTACGAGGTTCTTAAGTCAAATTATTATACACCGATATTTTGATCCACCAGTAAAAATAACTTTTATCTCCACGCGGTCTATAATTTAAACTTTATTGTTGTCAACATTCGATAAAGAAATACCTTGTTATGGCCTAGGCCGATAAAATTTTTTATGAGGCAAGTAATTAGTTCGATTTTTTCTCGCTAGGGGTATTGTTTTGACAAATTAATCCTTTTCTAAGAAATTAACGTACTAAACTGGTTTAATTTATTTATAATAAGCACCAATTTGTTTGTTTTACTGTTAATGTTTAATATTTTTCATTAAATTATTGTAAAATTAAATATGAATAATAAAACAAAAAGTGAGGTTAGGCAACCAAGAAAACGCACGATTCTTTTTCTACGATTTAAATTATCTTTTAGTTTTAATTTGCTTTAAGTTTTCAGTGAAATTAAATTTTAAACACAGCTTAAACATTCCAAACTACCTATTTTTTAAATAAAAATCCAAACAAATTGAAATTAGATACCTACCTATTTATAAAACAATTAATTGAATTCAATGTAATAGCAAAAATCCATTTCTACTTAAATCATGTAGCTAGGTATTGTCAAACTATTACTGCTTCTAAAAGCAATAATAATTATTGTACATTTAATGTAATCTTTAGCTAATAAATAAATGAGATTCTAAAAAAGTGAGGTTAGGCCGCTTTGATGTTGAATTAAATTGACCTATATAAAGTGCTTTGAAGATAAAATGTTGTATGCCATTCGGCCAAGAAGTGCCTTTTTGTGCTTCGCTTGAGCTTAGCACAAAAAGCCTTACTTCTTAACCTAATAACATAAATAACTATTTAGTATATTTTTTCATTTAAATAAATGTAAATCATTTTTATGTGATTTTCTTTAAATTTTAAAAACATAATCCGGTACTGCTGATCCTATTTACATTTCTAGAGAAAATTATAATTGTTTTGCTTACCTATACGAGCAATAGTGCGGGTTCTTGGGCAAGCGAAGATTTTCAGAACGGCAGAATATAATATATTATGTTAATTATTTCGCAATTATTATTATTATCGGCAAACTTAAGAATTAACAAGAAATTGATTTAAAAAAACAACGTATTAATTGCGGCATTTTTTGTACACATCCTTTCCATTAATTTATTTCGATTTTTTGCAATTATTTTCCTAGTATGTATAAGTGGTTTAATTTCAACATCCATGATAATTAAAGATTAAAATTTCTTTCTTTCCATATAATGTGTGTCCGCGTTAGTTCTCTACATATGGGAAAGTTTTTTATTATTAATTTTACGAAAAAAGTTATCTTATAAAAAGTTATGCTTTCTCAAAAAATAATATTAGACTATTAAAATTTAAAATAGCATGTACAGGGTGGTCATAAAATAGGAACATTTATAATTGGCCCAAGAGAGAAGTACCCTTAATTTTTATTTTAGAGCAAAATAAAAAAATAAGCAGCACCAATTTTGGATACTCCATTTTTGTATAGTTGTCGCTTTAAACAAATATTTAAATTAATTGGTAAAAATTATTTTTGTAATAATATTTGTCATAAAAAAAGAATGGAATGTAACTGGTTTCTAAGACGTTGGTTTTTATTAAACACTCGCTTGCAAGCTTTGCCCAAGCCTAGTTAAAATTCGTGACTAAAATGGCGTTTACCTATCTTGATACATACTATACTACTTGAAAAAAAGATACTTAAAAGTAACTTAGATACTTAAAGTATCTAAGATACTTTATCTTAGATACTTTTTATATTGGACAGAAAGTACCTTTAACTTAGTTACTTTTGAAAAGTATCTTGTAACTTGTATCTTAAAAAGTATCTAAGTTACTCGGTAAAGTAACTAAGATACATTCAAGTAACTTAGATACTTTAAAGTAACTAAGATACTGTTTAAAGTAACTTAGATACTTTTCAGTGTAACTTAGATACTTTTTTAGAGAAAATTGGGGGAATTCCAGAATGATTCAAAGTAATTACCTAACCTACAACTTGTTGATTTTTTATAAATTTATAGTTTTTATTCAAACTTAAAAGTAACTTGGTTACTAAAAAGTATCTTAGTTACTTAAAAGTATCTTAGTTACTCAAAAGTATATTAGATACTTTCATATACACTCACGTGCAAAATAATCGATCTACACAAATTTTCGATGAATTTCAATCGCAAATAACTTTTTTATTTGATGTCAGATTTAAACGAATATTAAAGAATATTGTAGATAAATTAATTGACAATCGCTCACATTTAAACTAAAAAATAGACGTACGTTTATAATATACAGGTTTATACAAAAAGATGTTTTTTACCATAAGTTTAAGACACTCTGTAGAGTGGCAAAACCGTATATTGTTCTAAATTAAGTTTTATTTATCAATTCACATCTATTCTTAACAGTTTTATTTTTGGTTCACCTCGATATATTTATTTTTGTGGAAAATATGGATTTTTTAAAAAACATTGCAATTTCCAATATTTTTCTGTATGAAGAACTAAGGTTGCTATGGTCCATCCATAGGCTATGGAGAATCACAGTGACAGTTTTGTTGAATCATCCCATACTTGGACATGTCATATACAGCTTTCAAAAGCTATCAAATTGTTTTTTGTAAATTAATGTGTTAATTTTGAGGTGTCTTCTTACTTTTAAAAATGTCTCCGACTGATGTTGCCCTTTGTACTTTACTTCTTATGACATTTAAAACACTTGCCACTTAATACTGTGACCGTCCATCCTGGATTAAATTAATAGCTCTGGCAACATCAGTCGGAGACATATCCATTTTATAAAGTAAGAAGACACCTCTAAATTTAAACATTAATTTGCAAAAAACAATTTGATAGCTTTTGAAAGCCGTGTATGACATGTCCAAGTATGGGATGATTTAACAAAACTGTCACTGTCATTCTCCATAGCCTATGGATGGACCATAGCAACCTTAGTTCTTCATACAGAAAAATATTGGAAATTGCAATGTTTTTTAAAAAAATCCATATTTTCCACAAAAATAAATATATCGAGGTGAACCAAAAACAAAACTGTTAAGAATAGATGTGACTTGATAAATAAAACTTAATTTAGAACAATGTACGGTTTTGCCACTCTTAAACTTATGGTAAAAAACATCTTTTTGTTTAAACCTGTATATTATAAACGTACGTCTATTTTTTAGTATTTTTTTTAAATGTGAGCGATTGTCCATTAATTTATCTACAATATTCTTTAATATTCGTTTAAATCCGATATCAAATAAAAAAGTTATTTGCGATTGAAATTCATCGAAAATTTGTGTGGATCGATTATTTTGCACTTGAGTGTAGTATCTTAGATACTTTCGGATAGTATCTTAGATACTTTTTAAAGTATTTTGTAACTAAAGATACTTTTAACTCAAAGTATCTAGTTACCAGAGGTAACTAAGTTATTTTGTTTAAAGTATCTTAGAAAAGTAACTAGATACTTTTCAGAAGTAACTTTCCCAGCTCTGCTTATGAAAATGT